ATAATGACAGACAATAGATGTGATGTCAGCTACCTAAATACATTATAAAACAGAATAAATTACACAGTGATGAAGCTGATAAAACTGTGGTGCACCCACACAATAACCAACAATCATATTCTCTGCATGCTCCAAAAAAATTACTGTCTGTTGATCAGAACCAAGTTTGGGCCATTTTTCACTCAACCATTTTTTATCAAGTTAAGATGCCAGTTTTAGTTTTCTTTTGTAACAGTTGTAATGTAATAAAATATATGGTGGCCATGGTTCTACTAGAGAAAAGTAAAAAAAAAACTCAACTTATTAAAAGTTCATCTTGACTACATACTAATATATTAACAGGATGGGCTCTTAAAGTTTGATGTGTGGCTCTTAAAAGAGCCGTTGTGTTGTTGTTGTTGTTGCAGCTGCTGGAGCCTCTAAGCTCTCTCTCCGCGGATGCGGCGGGCCAGCTGTATGTCTTTGGGCATGATGGTGACCCTTTTGGCGTGGATGGCGCACAGGTTGGTGTCCTCGAACAGCCCCACCAGGTAGGCCTCGCTGGCCTCCTGCAGAGCCATGACGGCGGAGCTCTGGAAGCGCAGGTCGGTCTTGAAGTCCTGAGCGATCTCTCGGACCAGACGCTGGAAGGGCAGCTTGCGGATGAGCAGCTCCGTGGACTTCTGGTAGCGACGGATCTCTCTCAGAGCCACGGTACCGGGCCTGTAGCGGTGAGGCTTCTTCACGCCGCCGGTCGCCGGAGCGCTCTTCCTGGCCGCCTTGGTGGCCAGCTGCTTCCTGGGGCTTTGCCTCCGGTGGATTTACGGGCGGTCTGCTTGGTTCTGGCCATGTTCCGCTGCTCCGATCGGGATCCAGAGAGAAAACCAAATGTTGCGACCCCGCGACGCTCCGCTGCTCTTAAGCTCAGGCTCTGGGCGCGCTCTGTGACGCTGCAGCTCTGCTCCGGATCCTGGTTGGTCGGCGGCTCCTCCTGCAGCTCAGCCCCGCCCAGAGGCGTCGGATCACGTCTGAATGTCCGCCGCTCATTGGAGGACGCCGCGTTCAAAAAGTCCGCCTCTCCGTCCCGCTCTCTGCCGGGAGCTTTTCTGATTGGTCGCCGGCATCGTCCCGCTCCTCTGCGCGGACATATAAAGCCGCTTTCAGCCGCTGCCGCTCATATTTTCGAGTCTCGTCTCCAGAAACAAACAATAACAGCAAAATGAGCGGCCGCGGAAAGACCGGAGGAAAAGCCCGAGCCAAGGCCAAGACCCGCTCCTCCAGAGCAGGACTCCAGTTCCCGGTGGGCCGCGTTCACAGGCTGCTGCGCAAAGGCAACTATGCGGAGCGGGTCGGTGCCGGAGCCCCCGTCTATCTGGCCGCTGTGCTCGAGTATCTGACCGCTGAGATCCTGGAGCTGGCCGGGAACGCCGCCCGACGACAACAAGACCCGCATCATCCCGCGTCACCTGCAGCTGGCCGTGCGCAACGACGAGGAGCTCAACAAGCTGCTGGGTGGAGTCACCATCGCTCAGGGTGGAGTGCTGCCCAACATACAGGCGGTGCTGCTGCCCAAGAAGACCGAGAAGGCCGCCAAGACCAAGTAGACCAACCCGCTGCTCTTGCCCAGCAACACACGCACAAAAGGCTCTTTTAAGAGCCACACACTCATCCATCATGAGAGCTTTGCTTCCAACCAAAAACACATGTGATGACTTCATGTTTCAAACTATTTTCATGTTCAGTTGTTGCTCATTTCAGAAGCTTCATCATCTTGGACGAGAAAACAAAAGGCAAAAGCTGTGGATCAGCAGCAGATTGTTTATTCTGCAAACAAAACTTTGAGCATCAGCACTTCTGGTCTCCAGTTTTACTGTTGCACTATAAGACATGGTAATATAACATCTATTACACATTTTCATAATTTAAACTCCTGGATGCTTTGCATAAAGTCCTTTTATTAAATTCCATCTTGTCATAATCACTTAAGTATTTTTGATTTATGATTTGATTTTCTAGACCAACACAAAATAGTTTTTTTTTTCTTTTGCCCATTTTTCTCTTCAAAACACCTCAAACTCATTCACTTTAAAGAATGTCTGTAAGTATATTTCTCTAAACTTGCCACAGATTGTTTGGATTCAGACCTGGGCTTTGACTAGGCCATTAAACGTATAAAGTGATTGCAGTAATGGGCTGACATTACCGCATTAGAGACAAAAAAAAAACACTCCAAGCAAATCAGAGAGAAAGTTGTAGAACTAAAAGTTTCTGAGTCGGTGGGTTTAATAATCTGAGCTCCAAGTGTCACTTTTATTTTCTCTTTATTTGTCTCTATTCCACACGTCTTTGTGCTGCTCTGTCTTCTATTCATCCTGAAATAAACCAAATGACAACATGAACTAGAGAACATAGAAATAAAGGTCAATGTGGTGATCAGAGATTCATCCTGTGTCACATGTGATTTATTTCACATCCATAAACTATAATGTTATAGTGAATTTGGTCAAATTCATCTTGAAAGGATCTGATCCTGAAAGAAAAAAATCTGAAAAGGTTTTTGGCAACAAGAGCCTGATCAGCATTTGTTTAAATCCCAGCAGAGAAAAAGCTCTAAATAATAAAAGTAATAAAATGAGAAATTATTTAATAATGAGTGTAGAATTTGATTCCTTTAATATCATCTTTAGATCATTGAGAAAAATCAAACATTTCCTGGCAGGAGAATCACAATGAACCTGAAACCTGTGTGTTTATCATGTCTACAGATTATTTCATGTATGAAGGAAATATTTTGTGGAGTTTGTTCTGGAAAAACTCTTGATATCAACAAGTCAGAAAGAACATGGAGTTGTAATAAACTGAAAAAAGACGATTTTCAGAGCAGCTGCTGTTGAATCTTTATTCACTGCAGACAGGAAGTTTATGCCAGAGGATCAACAATCTGCCTCTCGCAGGATCCTGATGTTGTGTTTAGATCCGCTGAAAAACGGCTCCTGTTTTCTCCACCAGTCGCTGAACCGCCGTCATTTTACTCTGATTCTGTCCTCATGTGTCTCAGCCAACAGAAACAGGTTTGTTCCTTTGACTATAATGTGGTTTTTGATGTTTTTGGAGGCGAAATTCGAGGAAAACTCCCAGCAAGAGGCAGAACGAGGGCGAGAATGTGGCCGCTTTAAAGGCTCCTGGACCGAAGGAGAAAGTTGTCGGTCATCAGACTTGAGCTGAGCGTGGAGGAGAGAGACTTTTCTACCTGCTCGAGTCACTTTTGCCTCGTAACGTGTTTGTTTCGGGGGCATTTCGAGGCTAAATGTCAGCGGAGAAAACACAAAGTGGAGCCGCTTTTGCAGACGGCAGCAGAGCAGCGGACCGAGTTGTCTCTTCACGGTTCTCATGTGTGTTATAAGTCCCGCCTCCCGCTCTGAGCGCCACAAGTTCCGAGGAACAAGCGAGTCAAGAGACATGGCAGAGGAAGCTCCAGCAGCAGCAGCCGCGCCGGCCAAGGCTCCGGCCAAAGCCCCGAAAAGAAGTCCGCTCCCCGGGCCAAGAAGGACGGACCCAGCCTCCCGAAACTCATCGTGGCCGCCGTGGCCGAGTCCAAGGAGCGCAAGGGGATGTCCCTGGCGGCCCTCAAGAAGGTGCTGGCCGGGAAGGGGTGGACGTGAGCAAGGCCAACAAGCGCATCAACACCGCCGTCACCAGGCTCGTCACCAAAGGGACCCTGAGCCAGACCAAGGGCACCGGGGCCTCCGGCTCCTTCAAGCTCGCCAAGGAGCCCAAAGCCGCCAAACCGGCCAAGAAGGTGGTGAAGAAGAAGGCTCCCGTCAAGGCCAAGAAGCCCGCCGCCAAGAAGCGCAGCGGCCAAGAAGCCCGCCGCCAAGAAACCCGCAGCAGCAGCAGCGGCCAAGAAGTCCCCGAAGAAGGCTCCGGCCAAGAAACCCAAGGCCAAGAACCCGTCAAGAGCCCCAAGAAGGCCGCAGCGGCCAAGAAACCCAAAGCCGCCGCCGCCGCCGCCGTCAAGAAGCCCAAAGCCGCAGCCAAGAAAAGTCCGGCCAAGAAACCTGCAGCCAAGAAGGCCGCAGCCAAGAAGACCAAGAAGTAAACTGCTGCTTCAGCCGCTGCATTTCATTCACCAAAGGCTCTTTTAAGAGCCAACACACATTCTGCTAAAGAGCACGAGCTGTCCTCTCGTTTACCCATCATTCACTGCTGCACAAACATTTACATTCATCTACAACTCGCAGCTGCATGGTTTATTAATGCACTTACTTTACACAATCATGGGATTTACACTCAATACATGTACAACACGTCAATACTCACACCTTTTCCTCATGCCACGTCATTATATTACGTCACTCTTCAGCTTATTAAATCACTGTGAGCACAAATCAGCACAGACACAAGCAGCACTGCTTTATGAAACCAACATGTATAAGATTAAATATGGATTTGCAACAAGTAGTCAAAAAAAAAAAAAATCAGAAAAAAATACAAACAGAATAAACTGTTATATTTAGTTATGAAAACAGAAATTATTTTCATATTTAATCAATACCAATGAATTCGTGAAATGTGTTTACTAAATTATATTTTTGGGAAAACAATTTTCTCAAATCTCAAATAATTCAAACTTCACGATAGTTAATGGAGTGAAATTATTCCCTTCAGATGCAGGAGAGGATTTTCATTCACCTGCCTTTTCAGTCTCATCTAAATTGAAGTTTTGCTTTTTGTTTGTTTCTTAAAGAACGTTCTCCATCTGTCAGTCCTGTGGGAGGAGCCGCTCAGCTCAGCTCGGCTCCTCATAGGTCCGCAGTTCACATATAAAGCCGACACTCTGCGGCTCGCGCTCACATTCGTCTCTGTGTTTCTGCAGAAGAAGAAGAAAAACAGCAACATGAGCGGCAGAGGAAAGGGAGGCAAAGGACTCGGTAAAGGGCGCCAAGCGTCACCGGAAAGTTCTCCGTGACAACATCCAGGGAATCACCAAGCCCGCCATCCGCCGTCTGGCTCGCCGCGGGGGAGTCAAGCGCATCTCCGGCCTCATCTACGAGGAGACCCGCGGTGTGCTCAAGGTCTTCCTGGAGAACGTCATCCGCGACGCCGTCACCTACACCGAGCACGCCAAGAGGAAGACCGTCACCGCCATGGACGTGGTCTACGCTCTCAAGAGGCAGGGCCGCACTCTGTACGGCTTCGGGGGTTAAACTCGCAACCACTGCAAAAAAGCAAACCAACTAAACAAACAAAGGCCCTTTTCAGGGCCACACACTCACCTCTTCATCAGCCAGTATTCCTGTAAATGTGGCTTTATAAATCTAATTATTTATGATTAACCTTCACTTCCTAAGGACAAAGATGGCTTTGTGCAAATAACAATTTCTGCAATGAAACCCTTAAAACTATTCTAAACCAGAAAAGTATCATGTGGTTCCTCACCTTGTAAAACTGATGCTGACACCTGCTGGACCTAAAAAATAACTACAACCTTGTTGATACAGTTAACTGAGTGATTTGATGACCGAGTTACAGTATCATTGTAATTTATTTAGTGAGTAAATATCAACAACATCATAATCCAAGTGAAACAGTTCATGAAGTTGCATGTCGACTGGATCTATTTTTTTCCCCACAGATTTTGATGAAGACATTTCATAAAACGTTTTAGGAAACATTTGGTCTATTTTGCTCTTTTTAATGCAACTTCAGCTGTAGAGGTTTGGATAGATTGCATTTTAGTGTCTCACAGGTTTCATCCATCTGAAGCAGATCAGAGACTAAATTGTACCATTTGATACTTTTTCAGCATTAAAAGCCTGTTTTAATAGTGAACCAATCTCTTATTTCTCAAGGTCATGACATTGAGTTTTTGTTGGGTCCCACAATTGGTGAACAGAGTTGGGTGTTGCTCAGATTGAGCACTAACAGTATCTTCATATGAAAGAATCACTGAAAACACAAAAAAAAAACTTGGCAAAACTCAGTTCTTGCTTTGCTTCAAGTTCTCGCTGCCGCAATGTAGAAAACTTGCCAAAGGATGTTGAAAACAAATGATTGCAAGTTCCTGACAACGAATCGAATGTATTTCAGACTAGAGTAAATTTGTAATATTGGAACTTTTATATTTCTGTCTGAAGAAACCAAAGGACGTCTGTTATAAAAAGAATGAAGTGTTCATATATCTATAGTATTAGGATTGAATTGGCTAAAAATGACGCTGTTTACTTTCGTTTCCCTTTTGGCGGGAGTTTTTCCCGCCTTTCTTCGCGCGGGCTGCGTGCAACGTTAGAAAAGCCACGTGGTTTCACTTCCAGCGCCTCAACCAATCAAAGCCATGAGACGCTACAGCTTCATTTACATACAGCGTGTATAACATCAGCTGTTCCCTCATCAGCAGTTCATTCGTCGCTGTTAGTTTTCAGAGACAACATGCCTGAACCCGCCAAGTCTGCGCCCAAGAAGGGCTCCAAGAAAGCCGTCACCAAAACCACCGGCAAAGGAGGCAAGAAGAAGAGAAGGACCAGGAAGGAGAGCTACGCCATCATCTACGTCTACAGGTGCTCAAGCAGGTCCATCCCGACACCGGGATCTCCTCCAAGGCCATGAGCATCATGAACTCCTTTGTCAACGACATCTTTGAGCGCATCGCCTCTGAGGCCTCCCGTCTGGCTCACTACAACAAGCGATCCACCATCACCTCCAGGGATCCAGACCGCAGTGCGCCTCCTGCTGCCCGGTGAGCTGGCCAAGCACGCCGTGTCTGAGGGAACCAAGGCTGTCACCAAGTACACCAGCTCCAAGTAGACCGGCTAATGCTGTGAAAACAACCCAACGGCTCTTTTAAGAGCCACCCACTGCATCTGCAGAGCTTTGGTCTTTAATCTCCACATGATTGTTGTTGTGTTATAACTAATATTCTTAACTGAGGGTTGACTTTGGTGTTGATTTTCTTGTAAGGGAACTTCTTCAGGATATACTTATTTCAAAGAGCAGTTCAAACGATCCAATTCTAAAAATTAACTTCAGTAATGTATTTTTAGGAGTCAGCTAGTTTTATTTTAGTGAGTGAAGTTCACACATTTGTATCTTGTAATATTCCGGTGGCGGAGAGGAAGCTGCAGACTCACAACCATACCGGTTCTCTGACCACTGTTAATTTTAATAAACGTCACAAAGCTGCTTGAACAGCTTCTGTGTTATCAAAAATGAACACTGAGTCCAAACAACCTTCAGCGTTTCTGCAGTTGGGGAGACGAAGCATAAATGTCCACGAGTCCATCTGCAGCGCGTTTCTCCCACGCTCTCCACAAAGAAGGAATGACGCGTACTTGTGACATCACTAACAACTTCAGCTGTCTTAAAGCGACATCACACAATTACGGCTGTAACAATCTGCATTAAGTAAATATGTTTTTACAGAAAAAAAATGTATTTTCAAAAGTAAAACATTTTCAATAACCGTGAAGGTTTTTTTATGCATTTGTAATATAAGAACGAAAATGAAACTGTACTGGGAAAAAGGTTTTGAGTTTGGCAGAAACTATATTTTTTTTCTTTGGGACAATTGTAACTAAACGGTATAAGTGCCGCTATGAACATTAACCAAAGAGGAAGAACGTTCTCTGCGGCGGCGTGAAGTTTGCGTCACGGTGCCGCCATGACGAGAACAAAAGGTGAGTAACGAGGAGGCGCTTGTGTTTAATGGAAACACATTTGTAATGAAACTGAATAAGCACAACAAAAGGTTTTTATAAAACCAAACAGTGACTGTAAGACTCGAGTCCCGTCGTCCAGATGTTCTGGATCACCTGAAAGATCCGTTCAAAAGAACTGGATCGTTTGTGGACATCAAGTAACAGGTTATAGTTCAGTCTGGATTTTTAACTGCATGTAATGCCTCTCAACAAACTACTTTTTTTTTTTTTTTTTTTTTTTTTTTAGAAAAAAGAGCTACATTTGTTGATGCTTTTATTTTGATAAGGTGACTTCGCTGTTGCAGCTTAACGACAAAAAATGGAACGGAAGAGAAGTTGCAACAATGTTGCTAAAATGTTTCTTATTAGCGGCACTAGGAAGTTTTTTACCCCCCAAAAACCCTTTGATTCTCAAAATTATCCAGTTAATATTTCTGGGAAGATTTTTACAGAATAAAATGTAATTTTTCCACTGAGCTGCAGTTGGTTTGTGAATTCTGTTAAGTCGATCACATTTACATCTTTCACATTATGAAAATGATTATTAATGTCTCTCTAAACGAGTTTTCAGACAGACAAAATAAAATAAATATCCAGAGTAAATTACACACTTATGTTTGTATGTTGTGTAGCGTCCCGGTTGAATGGATGGTCTCTCAAACTGATGGTTCACAACGTTTATTTAATGCCTTTTTTTTTTTTTTGTGAACACACCGTAAGAGCTACAGAACATACAAATAAAATACATTAATAACTCAAACAGTGTTGTTTTCACATTTTACTTTAACATATAAATCAATTTTCTTACATTCTGTAATTAAACCTGTCATAAAGTGCAACATATTAACTATTAACGGTTAATCAACGAATATTAGTGCCGTATAATAACGCAACCGTCACACCCAAAGCAAATTACACATTTTACAGTAAAACTAAATATATATTTACATATTAAAAACTCTCACCTTGTTCCCCATCAACCAAGCGCCAACCAACTGACTGTTTACACTCTAATCTGAACTACTCCTTTATTAGCTTCACTCCAACCTGAGCGCTCTCTTTCTGCGCGATGACCAGCAGTTAATTGTCAGTTAATTGTCTAACGTTGGCGTCACACTTCACCACACTTCCGTTTAAAACCCTTTCAAAATAAAAGCATAAATTCTTATGTTAACAAATACTCGTTTTTAAATGAGGAAACACAAATTACTAATAAGGTCATTTACACTCCCACCAAATCATTAAAGTTTAACTAAATAAATAGAGCAGTAATGATTTCCTAAAAAATAAATGACCTAACTTTTATGAAAACTCAGAACATAGGAAAGAATGCAACTTTGCTTATAATTAAACAGTCTCTAATAGTAGAACCAGTTTCTGAACTGGGCGTTCCACTATAGAAAGTTTCTGAGAACATTGTCCATTCTTCATCTTCCGTTCTCCAAAACGAATCTTTACTTTTCTTACAAGTCCGTCTTTATCAGTTACTATGTCCATTACACGTGCTAATCTCCATTCATTGCGAGGTAAGTCGTCCATCTTTTCCATGACAACATCTCCAACCTTCAGGTTTCTTTTTGGAGTGTGCCATTTCTGCCTTGTTGCGATGTTGGATAGATACTCCCTTTTCCAACGTGACCAAAACTGCTCTGCCAGGTATTGCACCTGCCGCCATCTTTTCCGTGCATAAATGTCTTCCTTGATGAATTTACCTGGAGGGGGAAGGGCTGCCTTTGACTTCATGGTGAGGAGGTGATATGGGGTCAATGGCTCTGAGCTGTTTGAGGAAGAGAAGGAAGCATCATCCAGCCTTCCTCCCACCTGAAGGAGTCCATCACTGTCAAGAAAAGTGTCCATTCGAAACAGCTTGCTTTTGTGAGGAAGTGCCCTTCCATGTTTAAGCATTTTTATCTCCTCTGCATATTCATTTGCTTGTACATCCTTTAGAATAACACATTTAGCGTTTTGTCTTTCTTGTACTGTGCTATGACCTGTTGTTTTATTTCTTTTGGCACAGCGAATTAGTCGAGCAATGGCTTGAGTGGCTTTGTACCAAGAAGAAAACTTTGTTAACTTGTCTGCCAAACTTTTCTTCTCTGTTTTGAAAGTGTTCAATGCATGTGCCCTTTTAACCTCTGGATCTCCAAGTGGTAAGTTCATGTCGATCCTTTCAGCTGGAGGGATTTCCTTGTCCCACAGAAACTGTGGCCCTTTGAACCAGTCTGATGACATGAGCTCACTTGCACTTGAACCTCTGGATGCAATATCTGCTGGATTTTGCTCAGAAGTATCAAAGACTACTCTGAGTTCGTCTGGTTCTTGAGGATGACACATTCCGTGATGGGGAATACACCACCTTTCTCCTTCTTTTGCTTCGCTGTGAACTTCCTCTGCATCACCCTTCTCTATGACTTCGCTCATAAACTTTACATATTGATCCTTGTATCTTTGGTCCTTTGACAGTTTGTTTTTGAGGCTTTGAAGTCGTACAGTGGCCATTTGCTTATTGTCTGGTAACAGAGGTCTCTCCTTAAATGGAAGTGGCATTTCATAATGTCCTTCATTGTTTTTATAAATGCCTTCCTTTAGTATATTCAGAAAGAGAATATCATCTTGAGACACTGATTTGTTATCCTTGTTATCATCCTTAAAGTCAGACTCAAGAACCTCTGGTGCATCAGTGGGAGTCATTAAAGGGAGCTCTTTGACTGTGACTCTGTGGCATACAGTAGACATGTTAAAAGAATCATTGTGAGACAATGTGGGGCCTACAATACTCCAGCCCAATGCTGTGCAGACAGCATAGGGTTCACCTTCTCCTCCTAAGATGACCTGCCTTGGAGCTAATGCCTTGGAACAGCTGTAGCCAATTAAAAGCCCAACTTCACATTCTAGCTGTGGTGGAATCTCATTCACTATTTCCTTGAGATGATTCCATTGCCTTGCCGTTTCACAGGAAGGAATGTGAGAGCGATTAACTGGTATACAGTCTTTAGTGTAAGCAGGAGGGAGTTCAATTATTTCAGAGGAGTTGTAGCCTCTCACTTTGAGACCTGAGACACGCTCACTTGACACAACTGCATTTTTACCAAGCATTGTGGTGAGTCTTAATCTTATTGGGGTTGACTTAGCCTTGAGATTGTTAGAAACGTCTTGGTCAATGAACACTGTGTCACTTTGGGTGTCTAAGAGTGCATAAACAAGCCTTTCATTACCTGGTTGTTGCTCTGAAGAAACCCATACTGGCACAATCATTGAAGTGCTTACACATTGTTCGTTGGATTCTGCATTAAGAGACAAGGTTGTTGCAGCTTGTTCTGTGCTCGTTTGAACTTGGTTTGTTTGTGATTTGTCGCTGTCATAGTTAAAGTCATGAAGACATGTTGGGTGTTTTTTCTTGCATATTTCACATGCAAGTCTGTAACGACAGTCCTTTGCGCTGTGTCCAGGTTTCAGACAACCGTAACAAAGTCTTTCATCCTTTATGTATTTTCTTCGTTCCTCAAGTGATTTTCCTTTGAATTGAGGACAACTATGAAGCTTGTGTCCGTTATCTTGACAGAGCATGCATGGTGGTTTAATATTTGACCTTTGTTTTGAGCTTTCCGTTTCTGTTAAAACCTGTGTATGGAGAACACTGGAGTTGGGCCTTTTTTCTTTCTGATAAGCTTTACTGGTGATTTTGGTGAAGTCTGTTGAGTGGAGAGCCTGAAAAGATGTGATTGGATTGCACATAATCTCAGCTTCAGAAGACATGAACTCAGTAAAGTGTTTTAAACTTGGAAACTTCCCATTTTCTTTCATGTACTGAGTAGTTTGACGATTCCACCTTGCAGCTGCCCAGTTCGGTAACTTTTGAACAAGTTTTTGATTCTCCTCACAATCGTTGAGAATGCTTAACCCATCTATGTGTGGCATAGCTTCATGACATGTTTGAATGAAGTCTGCAAATGTTCTAAATCCTATAGAGTCATTTGTTTGTATCTTTGGCCAATTTGCCAGTCTTTGTCTGTACGCTTTCTGTACAATAAATGGATGTCCATACCTTTGGTTGAGGCGTTCCCATGCATCATGGTAGGCATCACCGTCATTTCTGTAAAAGATGCCATCAAGTGTTTGTCGAGCTGAACCTCCTACATATTTCTTTAAGTAGTGCAGCTTGTCTGCAGGTGAGATGTTCTTTTTGTCAATGAGTGCAACAAATGAAGCTTTCCACTCGATGAACTCTATTGGGTCACCTGTGAACGTGGAGGGCTCAGGCATTGGCAGTCTGTTCATTGTGATACTATCCTGTAATGCTTGGGCTAAATAAAGAACATCTGCTTGTGGAGACGAGGTGGACACAATGTTGCTGTTAGGGACTTGAATGGGAGCAGAAACTACAGAAGCCTTCTGATGTGCTCTAGTACAGTCAAGATGAACACTACTTTCCCTCTTTATCTCCTGGTCATAAGTTATTAATCTAGCTCGTGCTGCCTTTAACTCCTTTTCAGCTTTTAATCTCTCTAGCTCACGTTTTTGAGATTCTAGTTCCCTTTTCTGCCTTTCCTCCAAGAGCTGAATCCTTTCTTTTTGTTTTTCTTCTTCTAATAACAATTCATACTCTGCCTCCTTGGCTGCCAACTCTGCTGCAGCCTCTGCTCTCTTTACATCTGCTATTGACCTTGCAGAGTTTGAGTTACTGGCAGCTGAGCGTTTACTTGAGTGTGTCATGGAAGAACTGTAAATGGATTGAGCATAGTCTGGAGTAAGAAGTTCACGTAGACGTGCCTTCACTTTTCCTCTGTCATAATCATCTATCCCTGAGAGTCTTTCATATGCAACTTTGATAATGTCATTAGTGACCGCTTCGCATGCATCTATAAGTCGCCTAGTGTCACTGCAGGGAGTAATGATTTCCCTTATTTCTGTATATAACTTTATGACACTATCCCTTTCCTTTTCTAAGATGTCCAGGAGTGAAGCAATTTGACTGTTTGTTATGTCTCCTTTCAGTTGTTCTCTTGTCGTACGTACTTGCCTTTTCCATTGATCATAAACTTTGAGCAGACGTTTTTCCTTTTTGTGGGCTTCCTCCTCCTGATATGCTCGCATTTTTTCTGTGGGCCTCCTTTGACGAACAGAGCATGAAGGCTCCTCTTCCTCGTTGACAGGTAGGTCCTCGATGTACTCTGTTTCCTTTTCAGATGTTTCCATGGTGAAGACAGGGTGATAAAGTTGACCATCAAATCCCAGAAGACGTTGTTTGGAGCCGTGGAGCTGGAACCTTAATGTGGCTTTCGCTGGGACTTCGGTGCTGAGGGTGGATTGAACTTTTTCTTAGCTCTGGGTGAAGCTCTTACTCCTCTTGGGTCAAGCTCTTACTCCTCTTGGGTCCCGGTTGAATGGATGGTCTCTCAAACTGATGGTTCACAACGTTTATTTAATGCCTTTTTTTTTTTTGTGAACACACCGTAAGAGCTACAGAACATACAAATAAAATACATTAATAACTCAAACAGTGTTGTTTTCACATTTTACTTTAACATATAAATCAATTTTCTTACATTCTGTAATTAAACCTGTCATAAAGTGCAACATATTAACTATTAACGGTTAATCAACGAATATTAGTGCCGTATAATAACGCAACCGTCACACCCAAAGCAAATTACACATTTTACAGTAAAACTAAATATATATTTACATATTAAAAACTCTCACCTTGTTCCCCATCAACCAAGCGCCAACCAACTGACTGTTTACACTCTAATCTGAACTACTCCTTTATTAGCTTCACTCCAACCTGAGCGCTCTCTTTCTGCGCGATGACCAGCAGTTAATTGTCAGTTAATTGTCTAACGTTGGCGTCACACTTCACCACACTTCCGTTTAAAACCCTTTCAAAATAAAAGCATAAATTCTTATGTTAACAAATACTCGTTTTTAAATGAGGAAACACAAATTACTAATAAGGTCATTTACACTCCCACCAAATCATTAAAGTTTAACTAAATAAATAGAGCAGTAATGATTTCCTAAAAAATAAATGACCTAACTTTTATGAAAACTCAGAACATAGGAAAGAATGCAACTTTGCTTATAATTAAACAGTTTCTAATAGTAGAACCAGTTTCTGAACTGGGCGTTCCACTATAGAAAGTTTCTGAGAACATTGTCCATTCTTCATCTTCCGTTCTCCAAAACGAATCTTTACTTTTCTTACAAGTCCGTCTTTATCAGTTACTATGTCCATTACACGTGCTAATCTCCATTCATTGCGAGGTAAGTCGTCCATCTTTTCCATGACAACATCTCCAACCTTCAGGTTTCTTTTTGGAGTGTGCCATTCTGCCTTGTTGCGATGTTGGATAGATACTCCCTTTTCCAACGTGACCAAAACTGCTCTGCCAGGTATTGCACCTGCCGCCATCTTTTCCGTGCATAAATGTCTTCCTTGATGAATTTACCTGGAGGGGAAGGGCTGCCTTTGACTTCATGGTGAGGAGGTGATATGGGGTCAATGGCTCTGAGCTGTTTGAGGAAAGAAGGAAGCATCATCCAGCCTTCCTCCCACCTGAAGGAGTCCATCACTGTCAAGAAAAGTGTCCATTCGAAACAGCTTGCTTTTGTGAGGAAGTGCCCTTCCATGTTTAAGCATTTTTATCTCCTCTGCATATTCATTTGCTTGTACATCCTTTAGAATAACACATTTAGCGTTTTGTCTTTCTTGTACTGTGCTATGACCTGTTGTTTTATTTCTTTTGGCACAGCGAATTAGTCGAGCAATGGCTTGAGTGGCTTTGTACCAAGAAGAAAACTTTGTTAACTTGTCTGCCAAACTTTTCTTCTCTGTTTTGAAAGTGTTCAATGCATGTGCCCTTTTAACCTCTGGATCTCCAAGTGGTAAGTTCATGTCGATCCTTTCAGCTGGAGGGATTTCCTTGTCCCACAGAAACTGTGGCCCTTTGAACCAGTCTGATGACATGAGCTCACTTGCACTTGAACCTCTGGATGCAATATCTGCTGGATTTTGCTCAGAAGTATCAAAGACTACTCTGAGTTCGTCTGGTTCTTGAGGATGACACATTCCGTGATGGGGAATACACCACCTTTCTCCTTCTTTTGCTTCGCTGTGAACTTCCTCTGCATCACCCTTCTCTATGACTTCGCTCATAAACTTTACATATTGATCCTTGTATCTTTGGTCCTTTGACAGTTTGTTTTTGAGGCTTTGAAGTCGTACAGTGGCCATTTGCTTATTGTCTGGTAACAGAGGTCTCTCCTTAAATGGAAGTGGCATTTCATAATGTCCTTCATTGTTTTTATAAATGCCTTCCTTTAGTATATTCAGAAAGAGAATATCATCTTGAGACACTGATTTGTTATCCTTGTTATCATCCTTAAAGTCAGACTCAAGAACCTCTGGTGCATCAGTGGGAGTCATTAAAGGGAGCTCTTTGACTGTGACTCTGTGGCATACAGTAGACATGTTAAAAGAATCATTGTGAGACAATGTGGGCCTACAATACTCCAGCCCAATGCTGTGCAGACAGCATAGGGTTCACCTTCTCCTCCTAAGATGACCTGCCTTGGAGCTAATGCCTTGGAACAGCTGTAGCCAATTAAAAGCCCAACTTCACATTCTAGCTGTGGTGGAATCTCATTCACTATTTCCTTGAGATGATTCCATTGCCTTGCCGTTTCACAGGAAGGAATGTGAGAGCGATTAACTGGTATACAGTCTTTAGTGTAAGCAGGAGGGAGTTCAATTATTTCAGAGGAGTTGTAGCCTCTCACTTTGAGACCTGAGACACGCTCACTTGACACAACTGCATTTTTACCAAGCATTGTGGTGAGTCTTAATCTTATTGGGGTTGACTTAGCCTTGAGATTGTTAGAAACGTCTTGGTCAATGAACACTGTGTCACTTTGGGTGTCTAAGAGTGCATAAACAAGCCTTTCATTACCTGGTTGTTGCTCTGAAGAAACCCATACTGGCACAATCATTGAAGTGCTTACACATTGTTCGTTGGATTCTGCATTAAGAGACAAGGTTGTTGCAGCTTGTTCTGTGCTCGTTTGAACTTGGTTTGTTTGTGATTTGTCGCTGTCATAGTTAAAGTCATGAAGACATGTTGGGTGTTTTTTCTTGCATATTTCACATGCAAGTCTGTAACGACAGTCCTTTGCGCTGTGTCCAGGTTTCAGACAACCGTAACAAAGTCTTTCATCCTTTATGTATTTTCTTCGTTCCTCAAGTGATTTTCCTTTGAATTGAGGACAACTATGAAGCTTGTGTCCGTTATCTTGACAGAGCATGCATGGTGGTTTAATATTTGACCTTTGTTTTGAGCTTTCCGTTTCTGTTAAAACCTGTGTATGGAGAACACTGGAGTTGGGCCTTTTTTCTTTCTGATAAGCTTTACTGGTGATTTTGGTGAAGTCTGTTGAGTGGAGAGCCTGAAAAGATGTGATTGGATTGCACATAATCTCAGCTTCAGAAGACATGAACTCAGTAAAGTGTCTTAAATTTGGAAACTTCCCATTTTCTTTCATGTACTGAGTAGCTTGGCGATTCCACCTGGCAGCTGCCCAGTTCGGTAACTTTTGAATAAGTTTTTGATTCTCCTCACAATCGTTGAGAATGCTTAACCCATCTATGTGTGGCATAGCTTCATGACATGTTTGAATGAAGTCTGCAAATGCTCTAAATCCTATAGAGTCATTTGTTTGTATCTTTGGCCAATTTGCCAGTCTTTGTCTGTACGCTTTCTGTACAATAAATGGATGTCCATACCTTTGGTTGAGGCGTTCCCATGCATCATGGTAGGCATCACCGTCATTTCTGTAAAAGATGCCATCAAGTGTTTGTCGAGCTGAACCTCCTACATATTTCTTTAAGTAGTGCAGCTTGTCTGCAGGTGAGATGTTCTTTTTGTCAATGAGTGCAA